GAGAGAGAGAGAAGAGAGAGAGAGAGAGAGAGAGAGAGAAGGACAAAGAGAAGAGAGAGAGAGAATGATAGAGAGAGAGAGAAAGCGAGAGGAGAGGAGAGAGGAGAGGAGATGGGAAGACGAGAGACAGAAATAAAGAGAGAGAGAACTAGAGAGAGAGAGAAAGAGAGAGCGAGAGTGAGAGAGTGAGAGAGGGAGAGAGAGAGAGAAGAGATAGATAGAGAGACAGAGAGATAGAGAGACAGAGAGAGACAGAGACAAAGAGAGACAGAGAGGCAGACAGACAGATAGACAGAGAGAAGGAGAGGCAGAAAGAGAAAGAGATAATAACTAAGTGAGAGACAAAGAATGCCAGAGACACCCACTCACCCAGCTGATCGGCCAGTTGTTTCCCCCGCTCGGTGGAGACGACCCTCTCGTCCTCCAGGTCACACTTGTTGCCCACCAGGACCACCTGGGCGTTGTCCCACGAGTAGGTCTTGATCTGAGTGCACCTGTGATGGTGTCACGTCACGCCGTCACGTCACGTTGGAATTGATACACCACGCCAGGCCACGTCACGTCACGTCACGTCACGTCACGTCACGTCAAGAAGGCGCACGGGACAGAGATGTGTTGGGCGACATCGTCGTTGTTGTGGATGGTCAGCCAGCGTAATTGTTGTTTGTTTGTTTGTGTTTGTTTGTTTCGTTTGCGTTTGTTTGTTTTTTAATAATCCAAATTAAGACGGGAAGGGACGGGAAGGGACGGCAAGTGACGGGGTGAGGTGAGTGGAGTGGGGAAGGGTCCAGAGATGGATTCAACGTCGTTGGGGTGGGCAGGAGGCGGATAAGGGGACAATATTTGTTGTCATTGATGTGTTGTTGTTGTTGAAGGCGTCGGGTTTTTGTGATGGAGTTGGTAAAACATGATTTGGCCGGGGACGATGTCATGGCGAGGAAGTAAAGGATGGGTGTCAAGAAAGAATTGGGGAGATGTTTGGGAGGGCATATGGGAGGAAGAGAGAGACGAAGAGAGAGAGAAAGGGAGAGAGAGAGGGAGAATATGGGAGGAAAGGGGGCGGGGGGAGGGGGAGGGGAAGGGGGGAGAAAAAGTACAAACAACTTTAAAACCAAACTCCAATAAAAAGTCAACATAGTAAATGCAAAAAAACATTTCATGGAACACAAACACTTCAAACACCAAATTCAGTAAAAGTGAACACAATAAATGTAGATATCGGACCCTGGAACAATCAATCACCTTAATCCACAATGACATACAGGAACAAGGTTTAAGTAAACGTAAGCCCTCTATTCGGACCTTACAGGACCCACTACCCTCATCCACGGTCTCCACTCTACGTGCGGGTACATTTGAGCAGTTGTTGCTTCGTGCGACAAAGACACTATTCATTTACTTTAAGAATTGGTTGAAAGAGGGTGGGGGCAGCGGGTAGAAATGATGTACAAACGGTGATCAGGTGTTTCGCATTCTTTTTCAAAGTCGTTCAGAATTCAGAATGGAAAGAACCAAACGAACAATACTGTAATTAAAAAAGATTTCTAAATGTTCTAGAACTATTGCGAAAGAAAGGGAGGGCGCAGTGGGGCCGATGTTGTTGGCGCAAAACGGCCAAAATAAATTATAAAAACAAAACCCCCAAGAAATGACGCGACAACAGTCGTCAAGAACTCCAAACTGCGCGAGTGTGTACCCAGCGACTCGGCCAACGAGCGTCCCTCGCCAGTGGTCACTACACGGTCATCCTGACTGTCCAGCTTGTTCCCCACCAGGATGATGGGCGTGCTCCCACACGCGTGGATCTTGATCTGGTAGCACCTGGGGCGGAGGTACCCGAAACAGGGCCCGTGGTAATACAGTACAGTGGACATTGCGTTCAACTAGCCGAGTGAGGTGAATTGGGTCATACGACACTTACTCCCACCACCACCTCCCACCACCACCCCCACTCCACAACCCCTTCGGTTTTTTTCCTTTTGCAAACATATCAGATAGACCGGCATAAGTAAGTGTTGCTCTCTGTATAGTATGGCCCTCAAAGCATCGGACTGTAAACTATAGTATAGTATGTATAGGACATACGAGACAGGCCATTCTGGACCGAGTGAGAAACAGTATTCCAACAAACTGACACATAGTCTCAATAAGATAGCTTCCCCACTCAGGAATCGAACTCTTCATCTTTTGCAAGCAAAGGCGAAGAACCCAACCTTTAAACTACAGATACTATTTTTAATGAGTTATTCGAAATCAGATTAAACGATCCAAACCACAGACTTAAAAAGGGATTATTCTCCGCTCATCTTTTTCGAGCATTCCTATCCTATACTTTAAAGAAAAAAGACAGCTGGGAGTATAAGGACGAAACTAATCAATAAATCATATACCGTAGGTCGGTGTGCGTCCACGCGAAACTTCCTAGCAAGCTCATTTCAAATTAATGAGTCCGAAAAACGTCCGCGATCCTCAAAATAATATTCGTAGACATAATAATGATAATTTCCCTGCTAACATCAATGTACTCAGAAAATCAATTCTGAAGACAACAGGACATACACCACGATAAGGAAAGAATACGGACGTGATAACAATACGTTTTGTTTTCGTGAGAGTAGCATTGCGTTACCAAACCGCATACCAAATCGTTTACTGAACTCGCAGTTCCATCACACATGTATTCAGATGAGAGACTTCATTTCATACTCAGTGACCTTTAGCCACGATATTCACCTGTGATATAAACCTGTTTTCAAAGCCTAGCACGGATTATTATCCTCGAAGTCATTGTCCTCCAGGTATTTGCAATGTTCTGAAATGTACATTATTCCTTGCCGATGGCGGACTGCCATTCTTTCTATAAAAGGCGATGTCGAAAAGCTTTTCATAAACGCACAATAGCTATTACATAATCGCGTCAGAGGGAGAGAACTAATAAATAAAGAGCATACCCGAGGGAAGGGAAACGTTTCTACTCTGGGGAAACGGACATTCCCTCACGCACACAAGCACGCAGAGAGAGAGAGAGAGAGAGAGAGAGAGAGAGAGAGAGAGAGAGAGAGAGAGAGAGAGAGAGAGAGAGAGAGGCAGA